ATGCTGTATTTCCATGGGTTCCTCAGGCCGGTGATTGGTTACTCTCCTTTAGTAAATAAGACCTACTTAGTCAGAAGTGCTGACTGCTGCGTAGCAGCATTTCCAAGCCAAAGATGCACAGAAGAGTGGAGAAGGCTTTGCGGAAGAGTTTTGTGGGATTGCTAGCTGAATTATGACTCCATCCTTTCTGCTCCACTCTTTTCTGTTTTCACTTCTGCTTTTCTACGCTTTCTAGGTTACTACGTGTGTTCTTTACAAGATTTAGGAGTGTATGAATGATCAAAGCAAATGATTCTATAGATCAAGGCAAATAACTGTAGATTTTTGAGAGGAAAGGAAGCTAATGACTCCTTTTTTGTGGTAGCTCCCTTTGCTAGCTCCTGTCTAAGGCTGTTTCAGGGTCTGTTTAAACTCTTATTTATACTGTGGATAACATGAGGTACAAGTCATAGACAGATTGTTCCCAAGATTACTGGTGGTCTCTTATGGTGAAAATGGCTATCAAATGGTTACATTCTAAACTAAATACACTGTTTTTTGTCGTCTTAAATACGTATGTGACCTGTAATTAGCTAAAGGAAGTTAAGTGTTAAAACTGCTGGTGCAGAAATGGAAAATACTCCTTTTTGACATAAAAGCAACAAAGATACATACTCACTAAATGTAATTACAGTGGTGACAGTTATTCTAGCTATTTATTTAGAAACTCACTTATAGTAACCATTAAGATTATAGCCAGGAAGCTAAGAGCAGCTCCTCAGTAATGTTGACGAATGCTTGTATTTTGCGAACTTCCAGCAGAGGAGACAAGGTGGCCTATATGACTGTAAAACAGCAGGATAAACTCCTGGAATATTTTCTTAAATGTTCAGAGAACAAATGCAGGTTTAGCTTTGGTAGTGCTCTCCTACAGGAAGTACCACGCTCCTCTTGGTAAATTAGAAAAAGATATGGCCCTCTGTGACAAACATGACCAGGAATCGCAGTGTGGAGTGAAAGTGGCACGTGGAGGAAAAATTAAAGCTGATGGAGGAGGAGATGTAACTAGATTGTGGAAACTGGGACCACAACTCAACAGACCTTGTGCTGTTCTCTGCCTAGCATATGAAGTCGTTAGCTCACTCTGAGCAGACCTCTTCCCCTTCCCTTCCCTCATCACCCTAAAGCAGGGTGACTTTGCCATCCGTGGGGAGCAAGCCTTCGCAGTGCCAGGGACTATGCTAATTTTGAAAGACTGTGTCAGTGCTTGAACCTGTAGTTTAAATTTGCTAGCACAGATGTAGCTTAGAAGTAATTGTGTGTCTGGTGTTGTGGATGGTTTTAGAGATAGCGGCAGCAGAATGCCAAGTCTGGAGGACTGCTTACCCGAGTGACGGTTTCATTGGACTTGGGCTTGCACTTGCTGTTATCTGTTTTGGATGAGTCAAAACAAGTGACCGTTTCATGTCAACGCTGGCTTAAAACAGAATTTAAAAAAAAAAACAAAACAAAACCAAAAAACAGTTTAAAGCGAGTGCTTAATTTATAGTTGAGACCTGGAAGCTCTTTGTGTTTGGTTTAGTTTCAACAGTTTGACAAAGGCATCAGTCACGATTAGCTCGTACAGCATAACAGGCCATGTGTGCACAGTTTATCAAATCAGTATCTCTGTCAGATTTTTGGCACTTTTTCATGTTCTGATTGCAGTCTGACATGATACTGGAGCTGTCAGTTTGCTGAACAAGTGGAAATGTTGTTGATGACCTTAGTATGATAAGAAGAAATGTCTACTGTATTAACTGCAGTGTTGCGTTAGGCATAAGTTCATGGGAAAAAAAACTGATTAGCTATGCGTAGATAAGCTCACAAATTTATATAGTAGTCACTTTCAGTCTGGAGTTATTTCTAAATTGTTATGCAAATAAGGATCTATAAACTAGTCATTGAGTGACAAAATTAATCCCAAAACTGGAAGCCTTTAATAGGGCTGCTGTTAACTTCATTCTCAGTACCTCATCTAACTTGCAAAAACTGTCTTTTGTCTTCTTCAATTTTTCCCCCTCAAACTTAAATGTTTGCTAGTGTGAGATGAAACGTTTTATTGCTCTTGTGCAATGAATTGCTCTTCTGTTGACCTCAGCAAGAATGTGAGGGAGGGAGTTCATGAAAATAGTTTCCAAAGCTTCGGTTAGTTAGCCCTAGCAGAACTGAGTGTCAGTTTGGTGCCTTAGAGGATCACGTGAAGTTGTGCGGGGTGTTCTCCCCCACTTCCTGTTGTGTTGCCACAGGACTTTCCCAGCATCACATGAAAGCCAGGCTGAAGTCTCCTTGTATTTTGAAACTCTCCACTGGCTGAGTCTGGCTGGTTTATGGTTTCTTTCTAAAACTTGTATGGTACAGATGGATACTGGAAGCCAGTTGTCTTTATTAACTTAATGAAACTTCAGAACCCATGCAAATGTTTAGAAAGTTTGGATGACAGTATGAAAGCTTCCACAGTTGTATACAAAATACCCCTCTGCTTACAAGGAGGGGTATGATGAGATTTCCTGTTACACCTCATCGTCGTTGCATTCTGGCTTCTTGAAGTTTTTCTTTGCGTTACTTCTGTTGGAACACAGTTCACCTGTATAGGCTTTCTTCATAGTTGAGATCTAAGCCTTGACAACACTGAGTGTAGTAAATAAACTCCATCAAGACTACCTCTTTAATCTGTTATCCACAACAGCTTTTCTATAATAGGCTTTATCTACAGTGCTGGGTATTTGTAGTCCTAAGACTTGCAGGACACGGATCAGCTGAGGATTTCACAAATTGCTAATTTAATGCTTTGTGTCTTTTTTTTTTTTTTTAAGTTGCAATACTGAGTAAATGCATCTGACCTTTTTGTTTGTTTGCTTTTCTTTTTCTCCTTTTACCTCCAGTGAGATTGCATCAAAATGTCTCTTTACCCTTCCCTGGAAGATCTGAAGGTGGACAAAGTTATTCAGGTACGGTAAAATGTAATAAGCTTTCATGAGATGGGCTTTAATGACCATAGTAGATCTAATGACTTTTAACATAGAGGAATGTTAGAGGGATTAGAGGGATCCCATAGAGGGATTTCTGATGCAGGTAGGAATTCTTGTTTTGCCGCTGCACCCTGAAAGAAGGAAACCAAACTGTGGTTTGGTATAATATGGTTGATGCTTATTTCACCACTGTTGGATATATTCATTTTGTTTTGCTAACTTAGGCAGTTCTTTAATGTGTTGATACGTGTGCCTTGTTTTTTTTTATGTGATCTTAACTGACAAACGTGAATAATCTCTTCTCATGCTATAGGGCAACTCTGAAGTGATGAATAGGCGCTGGCTGAACTAGTAAGCTTGCTGGTTCTCGTTCTTGGTGTTCAAACCTGTGGCAGAAAGCTTTCATGATAATTTGAGCTCAGAAACCAGTACTGCCTCTCTTAACACCATAGGGAATCCACACTTTTCCTTTGGCTACTTTACGATAGTGACCAGCTCTCAAGATACTTCAGGTTATTGCATCTGTGTAAACACCTTTTTGCATAAGAGCATTGGTAGCCTTATTAGGCAAGATGAGGATAAAAACAATGTTTATCAAACCAAGTAATGAAAGATACTTTAATGAATAAAAATTCTACAAGAAACTTGACTTGAAAGAAAGGACTCCCCTTAACTTCTTCAGCATGTTCCCTGATTTCCACTCTCTTAATCATAAACTGGATTCGTTCTCTGTTTAAACAACAAAAATGAGTTATGCTCGGTTTTAAGGGGACTATTACTTCTGTCCTTTCCCTTGTCATTGGGAAGCGAGCAAACAAACTGCACAGAACAGAGCCTGTTAACCTTTCTTTGCTGTCCCACAGTAGAGTGCCTTAGCCTCACCTATTACGTGTGAGGTGGGAGTCTGGCAGTGGTAGGCACTGTGCTGGTGGTGTTAGCTCCCTTGCATTATCTTTCGAAAGCCGTCTTACTGTGGTCAGGTAACACTGACTAAACTAAAAAAGCAGGCTGGAGCCAAGAATATGCTCTTTCAGTCTTTTAAAAACCAACTGTTACTGTTCACATGTTACAATGAAAAATATTAAATGCAGTCGTTCTACTAAACTCTTGTTACTGCTGAATGAAGACGTGATGAAGGGCAAAGAGGGTATTGATGCTGCGTCTTTTAAACGTTAAACTGTAGATTTATGTTGTGTCACTTTATAGAGCAGGGATTCATCTTGTATATTTTGCCCATGCTCTCAGCAGGGCCTATTAACTTGGGCAGAATTTTGTGTTCATGTTGCTACATCTTTGTGAGCTCCGTTGTGGTCTTTCACAGACAAATGAGAGTAAGCCCTGAGAGGTTTTCATAGGGAGCAGGACAAATTATTGTGTTAATTGAGTTTTATCCTCAGTGATACTGTAATCTCAAAGATCATTTTTCAATAAAATTCTTCATGCTGGACATATACTTGCTGTCATACTTAAAGAAGACTGTCCAGTCAAAATTTAATATAGGATTTCAGGGAAGCTCTACCACTTAAACAGGGTATCAAGCTAGACAGTCTGTAAGGAGATTCATGCAGGGGGTAGGACAGAAAGGAGAAGTCAGGAGCACTCGGTTACAGATACCCGGTGAAAAGACTTGGATGTTCTTTTGCTTTGATGATGGCAGTAATGCTTGCCCTTGAGCAGCTATGTGACAGCATCTCACTTTATTAGGAGGAACTAGGCTGTGTAGAAGGTATAGCTGTGACAGAGAGGAAGTAAAACGTTGTTGCTGAATGTCATTATTTCAAGGAACTGTTCCAGCGCAATGCGGTTTTTGGTAGCAAAGGCTAAATTATGTCTTCCATGTAAGTGCAATGTAAAGATGCCATCTTCTTAAATACAGCTGATGGAATTTTTGTGGGAGGGGGAAGGGTGCAGAGATTAAGTCTCTAATCACAACAAATGAATGAGATTAAAAGAACTGCTGGTTAAACTAGAAGGACTTGTCATATTAAATATTCTAAGCTATTTCTGCTGTCCACCATTCAAGCTGGAGGCTTTCCTTCTAAATGCCTTTGATATTGGTAAATAATGAGTCACTTTTGTTCTAAAACTTCTTTCTAAAAACAACTTCCTTGAGAGAAGAGAACTCTAAGTCTACTATTTTTAAGCGTTATTTCGTTAAAAGCACTGAGTAATTTTGACCATCGTGTTGAATTAGGTGATTCATGTATCCTGTTCAGCATAATGTTTCACCTCTGCGTTTAGTGGTGGTCTCTTCCCTCCCCCCTCCTGCCCCGCCCCTCCCGAGCCATTCAACTATGGTAAGGATCCTGGAGTAGCTATTTTCATCACAGTTAATAAGCCTGTGAGATATAGGTTTTCCACTGGTTATAAGTAAGGGCCCAAAGGGGATAGCTGACATATTGTGAAAAGGAAGGAAATAGGCCTACTTTAATGATTTCTCTTACATTGTGAGTAAATAAGAAATGCACAAACTTCTAAACCTAGTGTGCTTGCTGTGAAGTTGGGCATTTGGAAACTTCTCTAGGAAAAAAAATTCTTACAAGCAATAAGGGACTATGACAGATGAACTTATGAATAGTCCCTGCCAATTGCAAAGATATACACCTGTGACCCAGCTGAAGGAAAAAAAAATTACAAACACTCTGCAAGAGGTCATACTATAAAATGTAATTCACTTTTAATAAAGTTTTGTCAACCTAGTTTAACGTGTCTTTTAAGGAGATCTCTCTAACTTAATAATGAAACCCGAACTCTGACAGTAAAGTCTTTCTGCATTACTGTAGTCTCTTTTCTGAGGAATGTAGTTGAACTACTTCAGTAGATCAATACGATGTGCTGCAGTAGCATTGAAGTTATTTATTTCAAAGAAAAAGGTTGACTTCAGAGCTCCAAGATAAATGCTAACTAACATTTAAAAAAAAAAAAAGATACTTTGTCTCCTGGCTTCATAATAAAGGTTTCGTAGGTGTATATATATATATATTTTTTTTTTAAACAAGATAATGCATATAGGTTTCCTTGCTCTTAGGCTCAGACTGCCTTTTCTTCAAACCCAGCTAATCCAGCGATCTTGTCTGAAGCCCCTGCTCCTATTCCTCATGATGGAGGTAAGCTTATGTACTATATAGTATCCTAAATGTTTTGGAAAACAGTTTTAAAAAAACTGAAGTTCCAGTACAATCAAAAGTATTTATGAAAGTATAACTTATATACTTGGTTTACAAAGGGTGAGACAGTGCTCTTTTTGGAAATACCAAAAAAATAATAAATACCCACAATGGGGGAGCCATAGAATTCACAAAATGGTGTTTACTTCGTAAAGCAAGTTTTGGCAAACAGTCACCAAGCTCCTAACTTGTGGAAACCTTTTCCAAGTGAGCCTAGCATAACAAGATTCACTGCCTGTACCATTTGAGTTCTCCTTAACTCTTACCTCCAACACTTAGATCTCCTTATCACCTGTGTGTTTAAGCTTTAGCAAACGGTGTGAGTTTGAATGTCATTCCTCTCCCCGCCCAAATATATGAGCTGTCTTAGGAACAAACAAATACAAATCTAGGGTCAAGGGAGAAGTACTCAGGAAAGTGAAACTTAATATTGTCCCACTAGCAGCATAAAACTTCCTGCAGGTGTCTTGAAATCAGTGAGTATGGTATAAAATCCATCAGATTTAAAGCTGTATGACTCTTACTCTATTTCATTTCTCTTCTTTTTCTTCCATGCATACGTACGTATACAAACTAAGCTTACAAAAGTGTCCAGTGGCTCTTTGAGGTGCACAGATATGTTTGGGGTCAGAAATCTGGGCTAGTAAGTCACACTTAGTCTGAACGGTCTGAAATATCTCACCAACATGACCAGTAACTGTGCTGGAACAGCTATGCTTCTCCACAATGCTGTCCTGCACTTAGCAGAAGAGCACAGTATGTAGGTTCCCCCGTCACACACACGTGCTTTTCTCCATGCTGTGCCTTCATACAGTCCTTAATATTTCCTATATTCTCCAATAGTTCCCCACCAATTGCCCAAAAACTTTGGAGGAAGGGCATATGTCTTCATAGACTGGAGCACATCCTTGCCTTTGGATCTCATGACCATGTGTCTACTGTTGTTTATGCTATTAAGGATGTAACTTGGAAGTTCCCTGTAAGTTTAGGGTGTTTTTTTCTTTAAGGTAAAAAGAGCTACATGTCTTGTTACTTTTTTAAACTGGGGTAGAATAACAGTCCTGAATTAAGTGGATCTTTCAGCAGAATTTTCAAAATTACATATGTGACAGTATCACGAGACTTGTCAAAATAGTATGTGAAAGCAATAGAGCAAATTTGTTCTATTAAACCAATGATTATATTGACAATGTTGTGGGCTTTTTCCCTCCTGTAGGCTTATATCCAAGACTGTATCCAGAACTTTCTCAGTACATGGGCCTGAGCCTCAATGAAGAAGAAGTGCAGAGAAACTTGCCAGTGGCAGCAGCTGATCAGTCACAGGGTGTAGGTACCAGTCAAAGGTGTTTTAGTAAACAAAAACATAAAGACTAAAGGTATACCTACAATTCTAGATAGTAGACTACTATTTGTAGTAAGTATTTAATTGATAAATGAATTTTTTTTAAGTAATAGTGTCTATTTTCTCTGGTGTTTAAAAACTGAGCACTGTATATTTCCAATTTTGGGGGAAGGGAATAAAACTGGTATCATGATTTAATTTGTGTTTTTTCAATATTGTTTGGTATGAACAGACACGTAGCTGTTTGCAAAAGTTGAAACTAAACTGTCTGGCTGTTTTGTTTCAATCAGCAGCTGGTATCACGACCTTCTACTAATTACATGGTAGCTCCAGTGACTGGAAATGATATTGGAATTCGCAGAGCAGAAATTAAGCAAGGCATCCGGGAAGCAATTTTGTGTAAGGATCAAGATGGCAAAATTGGACTTCGCCTTAAGTCTGTTGACAATGTAAGTATAGGAGGTTGATTTTTTTTTTTTTGCTTGTGCAACTCTTACTAATCACTACTAATTGATTTCAGTAGTATGTGCTAGATAGTTTGACTGTATAAGTTTACTTATCCATTATCATTATCCATACTTACAGTAAATCATAAATCTTACAGTAAATCATAAATGTAGAGGGCTTAAGCTGTTTAGACTTGCTGCTGTAAATTTAGATCCAATTTCTACTTTCATATATTGTAACACCTGAGAACTATGTAATGTGTTTTCTACTCTGAAGTATGAAATTGTCCTTGCACAGCTGCTACGATGCTTGTTAGCAGTTCAAGACTTCTGCCTCTAGCTTCTTGAAAGCTTTGGATGATGCAGTTCAGCAGTAAGCAGGGAAGTACCTGTACCTTGCTTTCTATTGTTCCAATGTATTACGGATGAGAAAAGGATAGTAAAAGTATCCTCTTCTCAAAGTATAAAGAGTGATTACAGAGTAGGCTTTTTCTGCATTCATGGTAAAGGAAATAAGCTGCAAGAAGATTCTTAAACTGCTCTGGAGCTTTTCTGTTTTGAGACCTCTTGATTCTCCATGTGGAAAAATGCTACTTTTCTTTTTTTTCTTCACAGACCATTTAATCTCAACAGCAGAAAAGAAAACTTGTATTCAAAACATGTTTCAATATAGTCTTAAAGTCCTTCCGTAGTCCTCCTAACATAGGAAATGCTAGGGATTTCCTAGATATTGTAATTCTCTCCCTACATGTGGTAAGGAGAGGAGTATTGACATTTTTTACATGGTGTGCTTTACTTGTGTTTTTTGGGGTACCTCTACCAGAAATAATATTTAGCACCTTGTTATTAATAGAGGTGCTAGCAAATCATAAGCAATATGCAGCTGAAAACTAATGGGGTTGAGAAAGGAACTCTGTGGCAGGTTTTCTTGCTCTAGCACTGCTGATGTATTTCTTCAAATATAGACTTTGTGATGCCTTAGAAAGGAATTCTTAGTTAAATGCGCAAGCAGATCTTATTAAACTTATCAGTACTTCCTTGATCCAGTTGTTCAGGCTTCTTGTTAAAACAGAATAGTACTTACCCCTTCAAATAAACACCAGCAAAATATTAAATATTTTTTCCTAACTTTATTTCAGCTTTAATCATCCCTCATGGCCTTTTAGGGACATCTAGGAATGGAGACTAAAGTTTCAAAGTGCATCTTAAAGAAATGTGATTAACAAGTCCTTTTGTCCATTTGTTTGGTATTACGTAGGTAATAGGGAAACTCTAAAGGGCTATGTGTTCTGTTACTGACTTTCATCTTTAAGGAAGATTGTTTTTTTTTTTTCTTTATTTGCCCTTTTTTCTTTTGTAGGGTATATTTGTCCAGTTAGTACAGGCAAACTCTCCAGCATCTCTAGCTGGTCTGCGATTTGGGGACCAAGTTCTGCAGATCAATGGTGAAAACTGTGCAGGATGGAGTTCTGATAAAGCACATAAAGTTCTGAAACAGGCCTCTGGAGAGAGAATTTCAGTGATCATTCGGGACAGGTAAAACTAACCACAGATACAGAAAGTGGTTGTTATCCATGTAAGAGTAATTCTGTGAGGTTTGGTCTCTCTTCACTGGAGAAGCACTGCAGGCATTACAAAATCTGTCTGCGTAACATTTCTGGGGAACTTTATTAAAGTTCTTTCATAGGTGACTGTAGAAATAATTATTAACCTATAAACTTCAATGTAAATGTTCTGCCTGGACATGTTGAGGCCTAACCTCTTTGAGGGAAATTAATGAATGCTAGCACAAGCCAAATTTAAGTTCTGAATTCAAGAATTGTGCTCTTTCTGACATAACTTGACTATTACTCATAACGATGGTAAAAACAATAAAAGATGTACTAATATATTGAATATTTTGGTACTAAGTTTAAATCTTCCTTTGCATTTGTGTTTAGGCATGGTAAGTTTCTTGTGGACTTTACTTACATATGAATTTATGCCAGCTTCACTGAAAGTAAGCTTGAGGATTCAATACAAATTTTTGTTACTAGACATGCGCATGTAGCTGTATGTAATCATAATCTGACAAAATCAACATAAAGTCTGTAGGCTGTGAGAAGACAGAGGATATGATTTGACTAAGTACATGTCTTCAGAAGTTGGTTGTTTTGTTTTCCCCAGCGTTTGTTCTTCTTTAAGAACGCAGCTTGACCCAATGGAGTAAGATTACTAGCATACTGCTTCTGTCATGTATTAAATCAAAGTACTGTGGCCAGTAGATGCACTGTTCCGCCTGCCACCTCTTCTTCCTCCCAATCTCTTGCTGGATTTAGCAGCTTAAGACACAACCTCAGGGTTTTGTGTTTATAAGGCAGTGGTAATGTTGACGGGGAAGCCTTGATCTCCAGAGTCCTGTGGTCTATCTAAAGCTGCCTGCACTATTTTAGCTACTGTCTAACGTTGGTAGACAAAACTTGCATTTTAATGGACCACTTTTATTTTTAATATCTATGGAGGGTGGAATATGGGTAGAATAGAGTTAGAAGCAAGTTTACATACCCATGTAATGTGACTTCAGACTGGAAATAAGAGGTCAAAGTAGAGAATACTTGCTCAACTGCTATGAAAAGTAGTAGATGTACGAGTGTTACAATGCAATTCCTTTTTGTAGGTCAAAGATACTGAAACAGTGTTTAGTTCTTTCTGTGGTTTAGTAGACTGGAAACATGTTCTTGTGTTTTGAGTGTCTGTCTTTCTCACAGGCCTTTTGAACGAATTATTACGATGCATAAAGACAGTACAGGGCATGTTGGTTTCATATTCAAGAATGGAAAAATAACCTCAATAGTGAAAGACAGTTCTGCTGCAAGAAATGGACTTCTTACAGAGCACAATATCTGTGAAATTAATGGCCAGAACGTAATTGGCTTGAAGGTAAAATAAGTAGCATGTGGTGGTGTGTGTGGGGGGGGGTGTGTGCGTGTGGGAGGGGGGAAGTACGCAAAAGGATTAGAACATAATGCTGAACATTTATAAAATTACCTCTCATGACTTCTATTTATTAATATATTTGATTAGAGAGACAAATTTTTGTGAGGTTTTTTAGCAGTTTTATATCTATAGGTAGAACAACTCATTCTCTCTTTGTCTCTATTAGGTTGACCCTCAGTGTTTCTTTAGTCTGGCTTTGTCATAAACCTAAAGCACAAAGCTTCCCTCTGCCCCTCTCCCTGAATGCCTTTGTCAAATTGCAGTAGACATTTTGTCTATGTATGTATGCCTTATTCAATCAGGATGCAAGATAAAACCAAACATCTGTGAAGTTATCAGTACTGCAGGTTCAATGACTTGCCCTGAAGGTTAAATATTCTGGACAAGGAGTTGTGGATCTTTGAAATTGTATAAACCTGTCTAGAAAAAGCTCCCTAACTGCTGCTGTGTTTGATCATCTTGGGTGATGTTGCTCATGTGACTTCTTGTTCAATAACAGGACCCCCAGATAGCAGACATCTTGGCAACAGCTGGGAACGTAGTGACCATTACCATCATGCCTTCCAGTATTTATGAGTATATAATAAAGAGGTGGGTAGTAAACAAAGCAGTCATGGTGTTCATTATAATGAAGTTGATGTTTAGGTAGTCCTATTCCTCCCTTCCCCTCCACCCCCTGTGTTAAATAAAATATAAGTAGGTCTTGTCATGAGTACAAACTTAATATAAAGGTTGGATAAGAGAAAAGTATGAATTTATTTTATGGGTTTACTGACTAGTGTGTTTGGTTTAGTTTTTAAACTGTTCATGTGTTAGCAACACTTGTCTGCTTTTTCTTCTCTTGAAGAACCTAACCAGTTCTAAATATAATTTGACTAAACTTGAGTCTGTAAGAAGTTCTGAAATATATGGAAAACAAGTATTTGTTACCTTGTAACTAAACGTTATTTCTAATGCAGTTAACTCTGACAGAAGCGTAATTCTTGGCAGGGCATAGGGGGATTTTTAATTCTTGGATAGCACTAGCTAGCTTTCTGTAGCTAAATCTCTTGCAAAATTACAGGTTTCAAGTTAGGAAGAATTAATGCTGTAGCTTTTTTGAGTGCTTTGGGGGTATAGTAAGAAACTCCCCTGCCCTCTCATGGTATGTTCTTTTCATTAAAATTAAAAGTCTAGACTACCACCATTCTCCCCCCTACTGGTGACACCATATTGCTTGCACAAGTGTACACACCCTGAAAGCTGTTTATATTACAACTCAGTTGCTATTAAAGATGCTGAATATTGGGGGCTTCTGTCTTGTATGTGCAATTTGATGGGGCTTTTCTATCTCAATGTAATTGTTGCTAAAAATAGTGGAGCTCACTTTATTAGAGCTAGCAATGATAAAGATGCACTGATTAGAAGTTTTAACAAAGTTAATCTTTGTCATACAAAACGGAATGCCTTTTCCTTTTCTTTAGGATGGCAACTAGCATTATGAAAAGCCTGATGGATCACTCTGTTCCTGAAGTCTGAACTTTGTGTGTACGCATATATACATATATATATATGTGTATGTATAATGAGAATTCCACTAAACTTGGGCTATTATACTCAGTGATTTCTTTCTTCTGCACATGAGCCTTTCTGGAGGCCCAGAGAAGATATGCTGCATCAAACATTTGCATCTGTTATGGCTGGGAATGTTACAGTTCAACATGTTATCTTGTTTCTTCACAGACTGTAAAACTTGTAGCCTTATATGCTTGACAAATGTGAAATTCCAATTGTTATGACTTCTTGTAATAGGTCTCTTAGTTTACTACTACTATAAGCCATTGCAACTAAAGGAACCAGCTATCACTTGCAAAGTTATGTATTGTTACTTACAACCTAGAACAATGCTGTGCTTTGTATGTTTCAGACAAAACAAGTATTTTTATCACTTTGTTTGCAACAGTAGATTTGAAATAGCATATTAGAAATATGGCTAGTACTAGTTTGTTTTTGTTCTAGTAGATTCAGTTTACACAAGAATGCCACCTAAGCTGCATATAGCTAATGACATTCAGTAAGTAAGCATATTAAAATAAAAGTAGTGTACAGATGTACTCAAATCTTTTTATTACTTAATAAAAATTGTAACTAATCTGTTTAATCTCTTGCCTTAACCATGTTCTTACAGATTCAGAAATAACCAAATAAATGACTGAAACTCTAGAATGCTGTATGTGCCTCTTAACAAAAAAATCTGTCTTTGCTCACATAATTAAGATGAGGTTTTCACCAACAGCAACGAGCTAAGAAATATAGTTTGAGATCACTTTCTAAATAAGCTTGTCACATTTGGAGAAGCCCTTCAAATACATCAAAAGCAAAAGGAAGACTAGGGAAAACATGGGCCTGCTGCTGAACGGGGTGGATGCCCTGGTGATGAAGAATAGAGAGAAGGCGGAGTTGCTGAATGCTTTCTTTGCTTCAGTCTTCACTGCTAAGGCCAGTCCTCAGGATTTCCAGACCCTGGGGCCAAAAGAGAGAGAGTTTGGAGAAAGGAAGACTCTCCCTTGGTCGAGGAGGATCAGGTTAGAGATCGTTTGTGCAAACCTGACAGCCATAAATCAATGGGCCCTGATAGGATGCAGCCACAAGTGCTGAGGGAGCAGCATGTTTATTGCTAGGCCACTCTCCATCCTCTTTGAAAGGTCCTGGAGATCAGGAGAGGTGGCTGAGGACTGGAAGAAAGCCAGTGTCACCCCAGGCTTCCAAAAGGGCAAGGAGGCGGAGCCAGGGACCTACAGGCCTGTCAGCCTCCCCTCCATCCCTGG